CTAATCATACGCGATTCAGCGAACCAACTAGTTGTTATGAGAATTAGAATTAAAATGAAAAAAAGCAAAAGAAAAGGAAAACAAAAAAATAAAAGATACGATGTAAGGCGAGGAGGCGACAACGAAATAGCAATGCCTAACGCACGGAAGATCGCGGTACGTACATAAGTGGAAAAGATCGTTCTTTCGGACGCGTTGCAAACGGTAAACTTAACGACGCGTCTCTCTCCCTTTCTCCTTCTTCTCTTCGAGAAACGTGAGTTACAGGTGAAATTTGTCAAGGAGATAAGAGAGAGAAAGAGAGACGGACCTAAACTATTCGGACCGAACGTGCCTTTTTGGTGCATGCTTCTGTGCATAGAGTGATGATGATAAATAGCATCGAATTAGTATCGATGGTGATGTATTCCGCGACGTGCATTCCGAGGAAACGCTTCGTTCGTTAAAACGTTCCTATCGCAACGGAAATTCGACCACGGGTCATCGAACGTTTCACGGAATTCGTATATGTGCGACGATCTAGAAAGATGCAAACGAAGAGGGAATATATGCCACGTTCCGTCTTGTTTCGAAACGTTAGGCATTTTATTTCGTACACTTGGCCGATGCGATCTCGCGTTTCTTTCGACTTGAAGAGAGAATGGCGTATACCTAACACAATGTGATTCGATATAGCTTTCACTAGTGCCTGTAAGAGTTACGATTAACAGATTTAATATTACAATGGGATACGGTAACGTTTATTGTGTAATATGTATATCTCAGGTGATCGTATCAGGTAGTTGCGTTCGCGCGTGTGCGGTACGGTTTCTTTATATCGTGAAGCAACGAATTATCGTCGATGAAAGAGAAAAAAGGAAAGGAAAGGAAAGGAAAAGAAAGGGGGGAAAAAAAAGAAGAGGAAAGAAGAGAAAACATTCCAGTCGTAGCTAGGATGACGAGAAGAAGAAGAAGAAAGTGGACGAAATGAAATCGAACGCGTTTCATCTGGACTGTTGCTGTAAGATGATCGCGAAGGACGTGCCCGCCTATCGAGCAAGCGAACCAACTATCAAAAGAACGAATCAACGACCAATATATTGTAGATATGTAATGTGTATTACCTCGGGTGTACGAAAGGGAAAAGCGTCTTATGATATTTTTTATATGGTAATCCAGTTATTCCGAAAAAAACAGCGAATATATCACGTAACTGATCCATTATCGTTTGTTTCGAAGGAAACGCCGAGTAAAATCGACACGTTGTATCAAAGTGAACGAAGAAAAAAAATTTTGTATTGCTATTTTTAATAAAAAAAGAAAACAACATCAACAACATAATACACGTGTAATATTGTAATATGCGGATAAAAAGCGCTAAGAAGGCACCGAGGAATTTGTTTGGTACGTCTTCATATGCGCAACGTGTAACCGAGTGCTGCATTCAGGGCACTGAAATTCATCCACCGCCGTGAAGTGAGCCTTGAGACAGTAGTAGCAAAAGATGTGCGGACAACCGGCGTGCATCGGTAAGATCGGAGTGTCTGCGCAATAGGCACACTTGCTGGACGAGTCCATTTTCGGAAAAGAACGTCGCAGGTCGACGTGTTTTTTCTGCGTAAACATCTTTTGGAACGTATGCTTGAAATAGTGGAGATTGATCATGGGCAAACCTGTGGTGAACAATTCCATGAGACCGTGCCAGAGCAGTTCCCTCGTCATGTACGAATATCCGATGTTTCTGGGCTTGTGAGTGGTCACGGAACGACTCGCGATTCCGAGCAAGTATTCGACGATGCGAGGCTGCGTTCCGCGATGCAAAAAGATCAACAAATTGATAAAATCCAAGAGCTTGGCGACGTTTGCGAGACGATCGAGAAGGAGGGTTAAATTGCGATTCGTGCCGCTGTCCACGAATTTATCGCGCACGTACGCCGGGCCGATCGTTAAAATCAAATAGAGAAGAGACTTTGCACCGGTGATATTCTCGTAATGCAAATTTAGCAGTTGCTGTCCAAAGGTCGATTTTCCGTGGCGCAGCGAAAAATTCCATATGAAATACTTGAGAACTGCGTCGATCTCCGGCTGCCATCGATCGATCTTCTCTATCGACTGATACTTGGTGATCTCCTTCACTTGATTCCTAAGCACTTTGTAGATTTCCTCGTCCAGCTGGACAGCGTCGATCTGATTGACTCGAGAGACGTAAGGTGACGCGGGCATCTCTTCGCATCGGCGAGAACGGAACGGAACGGAACGAATCATCCGGACGTGACACGACGCGCGACGGTATGGCGCAAGGTCGTGGTCAGCGATCGGTCGAGGAAGCGATTATTTTCGTTGCGACGCGATCGCCGTTGGGAGGGCAAAGTGGGCAAGCGAGTCAACCGTTCGATTCAGTTCGATCCGGTTCTTGGTTGGTGAACGAGGATTACTAACGTAGGATTATTGCAGGTTACGGTAAAGTCGCCGTGAATACGGAACGGGCAGACTTTTGAGGAGCACGAATCGAGATCGAACGGTATCGGAATTCAGCTGCTTCGCGTTCGAAGCATAGAAACGAAGGAAGGAACCGCGAACACGAGAAAGCGAGGTTAGAATAAATAGGACGACAGTGGCGTTGTTGGGACGATACGGCACGGCACGGCACGACGCGACACGACCTAGCACGATCCGTCACGACTCCGGACGACTCGACGTCGGCTCTGTTCGGGCACCGACGAGTTCCCTCTGTAGGAGAAGCAGAGGAAGTAGCAGCGCGTCGCGCAGCTTCGATTTCGAATCTCTGGTTTCCCGCAGTGAAGAAATCGCAGTCGCGGGGCGCGCGCGCGCGACTGCCCTCTGTAGCGGTCTCTCGGAAATCACGTGGAAAAAGGAGCGGAGTGTATTCTAGTCGCGGACAGTGTGTAGGTCTGGCAGCAGGGTATCTCTCGATACTGAAGCAGAAAGGGGAACGAGGAGAAAAGGGGGGAAGAACGAGCGAGAGAGAGAGCGTGAGTGTGAGTGTGTGGGTGAGTGAGTGAGTGAGTGAGTGAGTGAGCGAGCGAGCGAGCGAGCGAGCGAGCGTTCGTGAGGGAGGGAGGGAGAAGGAGTGAGCGAGAGAGAGAGAGTGAGAAACGAGGTATCGGTGGACGGGAGTCGGTCGTTGTCAGTCGCGGCGGTCGAAGGGTTCGCGTAACGTATAGCGAGTATAGCGAGCCGAACGGAGCGAGCGAGCGAGCGGTTTGAGGTTAGCTCGAGGGACAGTTTGGATCGAGCGCGACCTAACTCGAGCTTCTCGAGTCTCTCGAGCCCGCGTCCTATCGCGTTTTGGGCTCCATGTTGCCGCTGGTGGAATGACGTCATCGAGTGTTGGTGCTTCGAGAGTGAGCTCCTTCCTCAGCCGTTCTATCAAAGTTACTCGATCATGTATTCGTGATAAGTTGTAAGATTTTCTGGTGCGGCAGACGGTGAACTCGGTGAACTCGCAGCGATTCGCAGCGGTCGCCGATTAGCGCTACCGTACTCGGCCTGCCACGCATCCACCACCCGACGGTGAGTACTTCAAATTATTATATAATATAACGTCCGGTTTTTGTCGCTTTCACGCGAACTCATCACGCTCCCTTGAACCATCGATCCGTCAACTGACAGGTTAACCTCCGATCCGACCTTCCGATCTCTCTCACTCTCTCACTCGCTCTCTCTCTTGCTCTCTCTCTCTCTCTCTCTCTCTCTCTCGCTCTCTCTCTTGCTCTCTCTCTCTCTCTCTCTCTCTCTCTCGCTCTCTCTCTTGCTCTCTCTCTCTCTCTCTCTCTCTCTCTCGCTCTCTCTCTTGCTCTCTCTCTCTCTCTCTCTCTCTCTCTCGCTCTCTCTCTTGCTCTCTCTCTCTCTCTCTCTCTCTCTCTCGCTCTCTCTCTTGCTCTCTCTCTCTCTCTCTCTCTCTCTCTCGCTCTCTCTCTTGCTCTCTCTCTCTCTCTCTCTCTCTCTCTCGCTCTCTCTCTCGCTCTCTCTCTCTCTCTCTCTCTCTACCTTCCTCCCTCTCTGCCTCCCTTTGTCTCCCTTCCTCTTCGGTTTCTCGCTCCGTCGTCGCGTTCTTTTTTCCTCGATACTGTACGAATTTCGCGTTTTCCTCGATTCCCGTGTTCCGCGTTCCTGGTTTTCCTGTTGTCCGCGGCTTCTCGCGCCTCCATTTCGAGGAGAACCGATTAATCGACGGTGAGTCTAACCTCTTACGGTGTCCCCGGTCTCGATAACGGATTGCCTTAAAGCGCATTAGCAGCGGTCCGCAGTAGCACGCGTTATTTTCGTGTCGGCCACTTGTTCGCGACCACCGATCGCCTCCGGATTATTCACCTCCGGAACGGACCTTTTGCCTGCGTTCGCGATCGATATCGAAAGCGTTGTATTTTGTTCGTTGTGCTGCATACGTGTCGTTCACCTTTTCGTTCGTCGTCACTTCTAGTCGCGTCACTCGATCCGCCGAATCGCGTTATTCCTTCCGGCGTGTTTCCCAATTCGGCCCACGTTGTTTGCTCGGCTTCGTTTTTATCGATGCGCCAGCTATTCGTACCATCTACGGACACCTTCTCCTTCACCTACGTTTCGGCCACGCGGTTCCCGACCTCTTTTTTTCTTCTCGTTTGTTATTTCTCCTTGCGTTGCCGCAACATCCTACGTATGTATAGTACATACGTACAACACGTAGGGACGAAAGAGCGACCGGCTGTGTCTCGGTCGTTGAAGGAGCTACGATAAAAACATACGGGCATATCTTGTTTACGCAGGTCGAAACGCGACACGCGCCACGCGTTTTCCGAGGATCATTTCGACGCGATATCGCGCATAGGTATGAGTGCGAGTGTACAACCTTTCCTATCCTTTTCGAAAATATATCGTGCATCGCGTACGCGGTTTTGACGGAAGGTGGGCGTGGCGTGGCGTGGAGTGGAGTGGAAAAATATCGCAGCTCGGTGCGTATTCGGGCAATTCTTATTTCCTCGGTTCGAAAAGAGCGTTCGAACGCCGAGAGGAAATTTGCGATAATGAATGGCGCGGCGTGGTAGAGGTTAGCCTAGTCAACGCATACTTAACGATCGTGTACTTAATTTAACGCAAATCAATCATCCCGTCTGCTTTCTTTCCTTCTGGCAAATGTGCGCGTTACTTTTAATTAGCATCTTCTCAGGGAGAAAAGGGAAACATTCGGAGGTGGTTCAGCTGCGTGTCTTCGGTCGAACGTTTCCCTCGGCGATCGAAAATAAATTCGTATCTCCTTAAAAAAATGACAACTTGGAATGAACTGACGTATCGATTGGATTCCAGCGATGTCTTAGTTCCTCCGTTACCGCGCTCTTGACTCTCCGATGACCTTAATTTATGGGCCGTGGCGCGTTCAGAAAAAGGCGCGCTCGTTGTTCGACGAGTTAGGGATTATTGGTTTGTAACGGTCTCTATGCTCGATCTCGGTGGGTGGAATTATCGGGGCGCGCGTATTCGCAACGATGTTTGCGAGGAAGATTCTAAGATAAATTTGGTTTCGGTATCTGGTCCGTTAACGAACGGTTTGGAAATTAGGTAAATAACGGATGGACGGTAGGAAATGGCAGTAAAAAGTTTTTGTTTGACCGTAGCGTGCTGCCATCTCGTGTTTTCGCGTTCCCCTGTATCGTGACCCCGTGGAACGGGGTCACGTGTACCTAGCCGTCTGGTAACGTTTCGTCGCATTCGCGATCGTTTCGGTCCGATTGTAATTTTCCTCGGGATGAAGGTGAAAATTAGCGCGTGCTCGTTTTCTCGAAGGAGCGTAGGCGGTGGTTAGGACAGATGGTCGGTGGATGGTGTAAAAAGTCGGCTATGGCAAGTGGGTGGTGGTTGTGTGGCGGTTGGGCGGACGGGGAGAGGGCGCGAAACGGAGGTACAGAGCTCCCCTTTGTGGAAGCGCGCGATTAATGCGGCAGCAGGTCGCGTACGTAGGTGAAGGACGGAGAATGATTGGGAAATAAAGAGAAAGAGAGCCAGATCTTTCTGGCCATCGAGGACGGTTTCCATTCTTGACCGAGAGACGAAACGGTCGGGAAAGTGAAGCTTCGCTCCGGCAGCAAGGATAGGTGGTGGCGCGAGGCGTGGCGAAGTATTGATCGTCGTTGCGATTTCCCTTCCTTCTTCACCCCCAACCAACGTCATCCACCGTTTCGAACCCTCTCGCTTTCTCGCTCTCCCTCGCTCTCACTCGCTCCACCCACCTTCACCCTCCGATTCGTCCCTCCTTGCTACTTTCACCTCCGCACCCACCTTCGCTCTTCCCTTCCCGCCGGCATTCACCCTCTAGTCCGGCCAACGATTCTCCACGCGTCCACATCTCTTCTTTTCCTTCCTTTCCTCCTGCCTGCCTTCCACCTATTTCCTCTCTTAGTTTCCTTCTCCTCCAAGCTAGTATTCGCAAATTGGAACCGTAACGGACACCGTCCGCCCCCTAATACGCTCCCTTGGAACGATCGCGCTCGCCAGATCGGTTCTTCGTCCAGCGGCGGAGGTATCTTCTTTACCGATGTCCACCGATCAAACTTATCGCCATCTGTGAAGGGGTAGCTCAGTTACGCCAATCTCGCTAATCACCTTTGTCCCTCGCTAACTCGATTCTTCCTTCAAATATACATACCTACCAGAGTAGGGATATTTTTCATCGATTTGTCTTTCCTGGACGAAAAGCCTACGTTTTCACCCTGAACAACGGGCTTTTATTTAGTCGTTGCATTTAATTAACCTCCTTTCTTTTTCAACTGTTTTCGGCTGTTTAATATACTCCCCCACCTGCTCGAATCCTAAACTAACATTTGCGTGCATTTTACTCGAAATTCAAGTTCCGCGGAATGCCGCAAAAAATACAGGCACGATCGAAACAGCTCTGCGTTTGTTTGGTGGCCTTACAAAGGGGACATGTTTCATCGTGGTTTTGTTATTATTCATACGACAAACCTGTTCAACGAAACTTGCCGGTTTACGAAGCGAGTTCGCGTTGCTCGGCGCGAGCTTGTGATCGGAATTGCTAATACGAGATCTCCTCCTATTGGAAATTCTTGCCGCGCGTGTACGATACGCCGCAGTTTTCCCAGAAAAAGTTTGAACTTTTATTCGAATCGGTGCCGGATATCTCGTTAAAATTTAATCGAGCTTCTCTCGGTGCGATCGAAAATTTCTCGATCGTTCTTTCCACTCGAATGCCCACGCTGGCGAGAAGCTCGGAAACTCGGCTCGGAAACGAAACTCAGTTACGTCACAACGACGTAAATCTTGGCGGAGATAATAAATTTAGGGCGCGGAGGGGCCACGCGGTTAACCGAAAAGTTGAACGGTTCGTAATCGTATGGCGGTTAGGAGCGAAGTCCCGCAATCGCATCAATTCGATCCTTTTCTTACCCTTCGCCGAACAAACTTTACCTGATATCGCCTCTTGGACAGGAAATTAATCGTAGCTTCCTTCACGATCCTCCCGATGGAACGTGCGTGAGCAAAACGTACAGGTCGAAATTTCGTTACGCGATATCGAAGCGTCTCGATCTTAAGACGCGAAGGCAATTGACTGGTTAGCGAGCCTGGAGGAAATTAGCCGTGCCGCTAATTACTCTTATCGGAATGTCGCGGTAGAGTCGATGCGTTAAAGCTGATACGTCGAAAGTACGCGACTTGACTTAGGTTCGGGGTGTGAACGAGAATGTCGCTTTCAATTAGAGCGGATGCATCGGTATAGCATCGACGAATGGACGCGGAAAGGACTCTCCCGAACCACTTGTCTCCCTACGGAGTCACTCGTCGGAATCTCCCCTAACGACCGAAGAAACCCGCGCTCACGAAAACAACATCCCCGTGGTCCGTGGGGATGGAACCCGGATAAATCCTGCCAGTCAGGAAACAAACGGGAGTCTTGGCGTGTACGCGACCGGAGGGTGACGAACGTTCCAAGTACCCTTCTTTTTCCACCCCGCACAAACTGATGCGCCCCCTCCTGCCACAATTATACGATTTCACCGCTTCTGCATCTCGAGTATCTCGTTAATTTGATTGTTTCGCCTTGACTTTTTTATTTCAGAGATCACTGGCGAGAGGGACATGGAACTTGTCGTAGTTTCCTGAATCGGTGAGTGCTCCTAACCCTTTTCTCTTCTTCACTTGGAAAATCGTTGGCGCGTTAAGTCTTAATTCCATCCTTTGAAGAGAATCCTCCGTCACCCTTCTCGATTGATCTTTCGAATCGGTTATCGAAGGAAGCTTTTCCGCGTATCCCGAGGACGAGGATGTCGTGCTTTCTTTGATACCGGGGTGAAATCGCGCAAGCGCGACACTCGGTAAACGTAATGGGGATGGTTATGGATTTTCGGGCTGTGCGACCTTCGCATGTCGCATCCCACGCTTTTCGCGTTTCGGACATCGTCCTCCTCCGTTTACTCGCCGGTCTGCGCTCGATCTTCGAGCCTTCTTCCTATCTCGGTCTACCTGCCTACTTCTCTGTCGAAGGATCTCGGAGTAGCTCGGCTTTAATACTCGCGCCCTATCGCGTGACCAAGCGCATTCGTTCAGGGAGAAGTTACGGTCGAGAAGAGTCACCGACTTTCGCGCTTTCCCTCCTCCTCTATTCCACGTCCTTTCGTTTGCCTTTTCTGTCAGTGTGTAGTGCTATACATTTACCTACGCAACGTAACGCGAAACTGCATGGTCTGATCGCAACTGTGGCTCGATCACTGCCGTCGGATACGCGTCGACAGTGCTGGTGTAGCTAACGAGTGGCGCGCGATTCTTCTAATTGCGGCCACATATCCTATCTATATCCTATCTATATCCTACAGGTTGCAAACAACGTTGTAAATACCTAGGCATACGTAGCTAGAAGTTTCGCGATTACGTTGATACCGGTAGGGTAGACGTACATGCGGTGGTTAGGTAGGCAGGTGGGTGGAAGCTAAGTAGGTAGGTAGGTTGATAGGTAGGTAGGTAGGTAGGTAGGTAGGTTGGTAGGTAGGTAGGTAGGTAGGTAGGTAGGAGTAGCAGCGGAGGATAATCTCGTGGTAGCTAGGCTGCGGTACTCTGCGGTACTGTATGCCGCCATGTTGCCCTATCGATTTTGACCCCCACCCTCGCCTTCCTTTTTCGAGCCACCAATTCCCTCCTGTTTCTTCTCCACGACTTCTTTCCTCCGTCTATTCTTCATTATTACCGACGATCACCGTCCTTTCCTGTCGATCGACGCTTTCCAACGAAACGTACAGTGTCTCGAGGGGAGACAAGAGGAAACGCGCGATTTCTCGATCGCAATTGGGTTAGACGTGTAGGAACGGTTGAGAGATGGAACGTTGGAAATTTTTGGTAACGCTCCTACGACGATTAATTGCAAAGGAGCATCGACTGGTGCGCGCGGAGGGAATAGGATTGGGGTTGTCGCATCGTCGAGGGAGTGTTTATTAATTAACGAAGCGCGCGATGCATGACTTGAATCGCAAATAACGTGGCACGACCCTCGGACGGCTACGAGATAGAGCGACAGCTAACGCGAGAACTAGCTTTACCTTTCTCCAGATTTTTTCGACCACGTATCGACTATTCTCGAGACGACGCTTTAATTAACGTTGATCAAATGTAGGATAATTTCAACTGGACCGGACTGGGGTTTCCCTCGGGCGTGTAACTCGGTAAGCTCCTTATTGTTAGTCTACATAGCGTAGCCCGGTACGGGTTTTCGGCTGCAGTGGTTTCGGCTTAGGAACGAAGGACAATGGTTATCTGGGGCGGTAATTCTGCGACACGTGTCGATCCAATCGTCTTTCCCCTCATAATTTCCTCCCCTTTAACCTTCTTTTCGTTCTTACTTGCTCTCCGAGTGAATTCAAGTCGGTGAAACGTAAGAGGCGAGAGGTGAGCGACAGAAGACGAAAGGAATGCGCTGGTGTTCCCTGTGTCTCGGGGGAACGTTAGGGATCGTTAGGCATGGTATGCAGTCACGGTAATAAACAGGATCTCCGTCGAAACAGCATTTGGAAGTATCGGCGTCGTTGTACCTTGTAACAACCGACAGGTGGTCTTAGCAAACGGCCTTGTTGTGCCCCGACCATCGAACGTCCTGCAAATTCAACTTCCCTGCTAACTTGCACTCTCGGGGTAATCGACCGAGGATGATCTCTATTCGATGGTGCCACTGCCGCAGAAGATGGACAAACGGTGGGAAAACGGTACGAACGGTACGTATCGGATCGCGTCGGTGGCGTTGTGAATATTTCAACGGAGCGAGCTAGGTACCGACTAGAAAGGTAGTACGTTATAGCGTAAATTTCCATCCTGACGCGAGTTTAACTTGCTAATTTGACAGGCGTGTGCGAGCGGTTCGCGAAAAGTGTTGGTCGAAATGATTTTCCCTGGTTACTTGGCGGTCCTCTGCCGTCTAACGTCAGATTTTCAACCGTAAGGGACGCTGTTGGAAGCGGAAAAATGTTTCCTTTCGTAAAAGTAGGAAATTTCATTTGATCCGATGATCGTGAGAACGAGTGGTGGGCGTTCGATGTCTCTCATTTCGCGAGAGCACGCTTTTAACCTATTTCGACTGGTTGTGGCGCGCGCGCGCGCGCGCTCTAGTCTCCAAAGAGAACAATATCGTGGAAATATGTAAGTATCGGTAATTGAAAGAGATGCGTAGGCTTTGCTCTTTGAATTTTACGTGGTACAAGTTAGTTAGGCGGTAATCGTAGCGTGCAGTTGGTGATATACACACATACCGTCCCAGCACCGCATCCTACAACGTGTGACGTAAGTACTTGGGCCCCTTTCACGCAAGAGGGTGAAACTCGTTTCAAAGGGGTTATTTTAGGAACAGGAAGGTGGCTGGCCGACCGCGCATCCGCTTCAACACACACGCGCGCTCTTTATCTCTCGCGTCCCCTTTCCCTCCCTTCCCGTGTTTTCATATTCTTGAAAAATAAAGAAAGATTCGCTCCGAGAGGCGACGTCGAATTGTCTCGATATTCTTTCGCCCAGATTAAGAGGAACGAGATTAATCTAGACCGAGAGTCTGGTATCTGGCACGTGTTTCGACCGCATTCCCGTAAATACGGTTGCCCGCTTCTTCGTATGCGCTAACTTCCTTGCTCGCGTGTTCTCCATAGCTGCATACCGTGCGCTCGCCGCGCCGGTCTCGATCGATTTCTCGTTAATCAAACCACTCGATTCCTACCTTTTATCCCTCGTTAGATCCAATACGGCCAACTACGGCCAACTGCGGCCTTTAAACGCGATGCTTCCTTCTTTGTTCGCCGCAGAGGAGAATCGTGTTCTATATTATATAGTTGAGCAGTTAATCTCTAGGTAACCTTGGTAGATAACGCGTCGCGTCGACGCGATATTCCGGTATTTTTATCGGCGCGTAATTCGGTGAAAAAATGTGTTTGCTTCTAACGTTGGTCGGTTTTCTGGATCGCGGAGGGTAAATGGCGGGCGCGAAAAAGGAAGGGAAGGGAAGGGAAGGGAAGGGAAGGAGGAAGAGGTAAGTATGTACACGACGGAGTTGACGCGTTGGTTCAAGGGAGCACTCTGGCCAGCACTCTGATATCGCGAAATCATCCCGAGATAGTCGGGATGGCGTCGGAGGGGTGGATGGCCGCGATGGTGGGGGTGTGTCGACCGCGAGCGAGGACGAGCGCCTACGGGTAAAGAAGGGAGGGAGAAGGTGTCGTCGGGTCGCGCAGGCGTCAGCCTCGAACTTGCTTCGAGCCGATCAGTCGTGCGTGGCACTTGACACGCGTTACGTCTTTTCCTTTGTTTTCGTCTCTCTCTCTCTCTCTCTCCCCCTCCCTCTCCCTCTCTCTCTCTCTCTCTCTCTCTCTCTCTCGTTCTCGGAGTGCATTACCATTCGCTCCGTCTCCTTTACCACCGTCCCTCTCTCTACATTTTCCGCTCTTTTACTCGCAGTCAGTGACACGCGTTTTCCTTCCACGTTTCAACGCCTTACCTGTTTTTCTTACCTGCTTCCCTCCCTCCCATCCCTCCCACCGTCACTCACTCACTCCGTATCATCCCTCCCACCCTTCCACCCTCCCCTCCATTTCCTCCATTCTCTCTTGCTGCGTTTCCAAACTTTACTCCGTTCGCGAGACGATAGGAGAGTGGTTGAACGAGATTCTTTGGTGCTGCGTTCTCAATGTGCATGTGTTTCGTTTGGAAAGTCCTCGCTACTCGGGCCTCGGTGATTAACGTGATTACGAATCGCGTCGAGTCGAGTTTAAAGGGACTGTAAATCGTTGGTGATATCGGAGTGATCCAGTGACGGGCCAAACGGCCGCGTCTCTCGACGTGTTCTCGTCGGTGTTTGTTCACGGTGCTGCAGTTCCTCTGTGATACGTGCGACATTTGTTTCCGATCCTTGGAATCTTGGAGTGTTGGAATTGTAAACGGCGAGCAACCACGTGTAGCTCCAGCTGAACCGTCCATACGCCTCTCACTGTCGCGTTTCCTCCTTCGATTCGCGTTCGATCTTCCGCTGTTGTCGTTGCTGGACAACGTCGTTGCCACCATTTTCTCCCTGTGCGCCAGCTGTCTTTGACTCGATGCGAGTGGCGCTCCTACGAGGGAAACAGGGATCGATATTTACTTACGAGGTAAGAAGTGTCGTCCTCTTACCAGATATTCGGCTCTAACTAAAGAGTTAGATTCCGATCGAACGGTAGAGGCAACGCGTTGTCGCTTCAAGGCTTCGACTGGGTCGCGTGACGTCTGAATACCGCGGTATAGATGTCTAACTAAAACTTTTATCGACGAGCCTACGTGTTGCGCCGAAGGAAAAGTTCCGGAGGTAAATTCGTTTGGAATAGGTTCGGTAGTGCCGATGAAAATGATTGGTTAATACGATCGTGTAAACACGAGCAATCCAATTACTCCGGGATCATGGCACCCCGCTATGATTACCTCTGCGCGCGTTGGCCCCGTCCGGAAATCTGTGCAGTCGGAAATGTTACCGCGTTAGCTCTAGCTAATACTTATCTACTCGACTCTGTCGTTTCCCCTCCACGCGTATTCTTCGTAGAAGAATTATCGGTATAAATTTGGAAGGTTGGAGGAAATGTTTGTGCGAGCGAGGGAGGTCGGGGGAATGTGGACGGCTGGGTGAAATAATACTATAGCACACATAGAGTAGTTGGCTATTGATTTTCTAGCGACTAGGTTTAGCAAGCTGATGGTCGCGAGATGGTCGCGTCCAGCGGGTGGAAAATGTTGTCGGATCGTTGGACACGCGAGAAAACGATCGAAATCGCATTGGCTCGAGTCACGTTAAAGAGGAGGAAAGGGTATCTAACGTTACAATGTATAACCCCGCGTCGGAGCGGCGAGGTTGGCGAACGCCGTTCAACGAGTATTCTCGGTGCTCGGCGGTCGTTAGATCTGTCTTCGGCTGGTAATGACTCGACCGGTTGATTTAACGGCGTCGTTAGAACGGCGTCGTCGGCACGCGAAAGATATAGCGCGCGCACGCGTTCCGAGATCCTCACGACTCCATCGTCCACGGGTATTCGCTATCGCGGAGGAGCACGCGTTGGACATGGGTGGACTTTGGAGAATTAGGCAAGGCGGCTCGAACTTAATAGTCCGCGATGCTAGAACGAATGTGCCGTGCACCCAGTGCAACGTACCTCATCGGGGATTAAAGTGTAATCAGAGAAAATCCGCGCGGTATACTAATTTTTCCTCGTGGGTGCCAAGATTGATCGCGGTCCCTCGCAACCACCTGTGAAAACGATGCTGTCTCTAATTGGTAACGGCTACGCACTTGGATCGCGCGTCGATAACGAACGAGCGAGGGACGTTGGAGAGGTAATCGAAGGGATGAATTGATTTTTGCTAATCCGGGCTGCGGGTAAAGGACGAAGGGCAAATGAACGGAGCTCGCATGCGTTAGTAGACGGATCGATGTCTCGAACGAACGCATCTTTTTTCACCTCGGTTTAATCTCGATTATTGGCTACCACGTCCGTAATCGTACCGTATATCGGAGAGGTTCGCAAGTTTGCTTCGTCGAGGCGTACGTTTTTCCCGTGGCAGAAGTTAACGAGCTAGTACATGTAGAAGACCGATTCTCGTGGGATTCGTGCAACAGGGGTATAAACTCGGCGGCCCAGATTATTACGTTAATTTAGCCCGTTGTGCGCAAACAGTCGGTAGAGGATCGGTATTAAGATAACTGGTAACAAAGCGCGCACACCGATTCGAGTGAACGATACGCTGAAACTGATACCAGTTTCCGATTCGTTTCCCTATTACACGTTCGGGGGATCGATTTCTACGATCGTTAATTCGACGGTTAATTAAACGGAGTGCGTGCCGCGAATTCGGTATTCGTGGAATTCGGCTAATGTCTGGACAGCCACCTCTATCGATCCATCGTCGAGCTTGCAGCACACCGATTTAGGGTGGCCCGCGCGCGATCAAGGCCATTCCGTGAAAAGGAAAAAGCGGGAAACACTCGGTGGAATGGAGCGGCACCGCGAAATTGAAGAGGGTCGTTTGATTTATGGCGGAACCATTCTAGGATTCCCCTCTTTCTCTCCTCCTCCGAATTTCGCAAGTTGCTCGCACACCCTCTACTCTCCTCTTTGGCCCTTCGTCTCGCCCTTCTACAAACGGATCCATCCATCTCTCTCTCTCTCTCTCTCTCTCTCTACTTTCGCGATCGATTCTTTCTATCGAAGCTTTACCCTAACCGGATGACATACACTTTTTGTTTCAGGTACGTAATCGCAGGGGATTTATTTCGACCAATATCTCGAACTCGCGACTGCTATCGATCGAACGATACGTGTCGTCTTCGATGATATCTCTACGTTTAAAAGGTAATAATTGAACGTTCGTTTTGTTCGTCGTATCTGAGCGATTTCTTCACTCGCCACTCTCTTTCACACTTCAAAACGATTCCTCCTCGTTCCGATATCGCGAACACGTGCGATTCTTTGAATCCGTCGAGCGTCGTTTCTCGGAAAATAATCGTCGAGGTGAAACGATAACATTCAGAGGAGTATCAACTCTGAACGTAACATCCAGTCTGCCGTTGTTTACAGTTTTTCTCGAGCTGTGCGAGAAAGAAACTCGGAGGACTCGCTTTTGTCTTCTTCTCGGTTCGCCGGTTTTTCCGCGGTTTTTCTCGGTTCTATTTGCACGCAAACTGACTTTGCAGAGTATTGTAGCCTGGATAACGAGTGTTTCATACATAGATACATGTAAGTAGGGTTAATAGTGATTTTTTAGTTGCTACAATAAAAGTACACTTTCTGAAAAAATTTCTCCTGTCCTTTCTTTGTACCCGTTTCGGTTTGCCGACGAGAAAATATTGTTTCGTTTGTTTCCGAATAAAGAGAGATTTGCCGAGTATATTGCGCGCAACGTCGAGTACCGGGGTTGTGTGTTTGCTTGCTATACACAAACGCGATAATTAGCCCTGACGACGGGTGAATGAAACCGGGTGGGGTTGGATGGTTGGGCGTATTTGCGCGGAGCACAAGCGATACGAGGGTAATCGATCTCTTCTCGATCTATGGAAATGGAGGAAAGCCTATGGAAAGTGTCCGTCGAGGTTTGCTATACTATGTACGTACATAGTGTCGCGTGTCCCTGCCAATGAATTTGCCTGGCGCTCGCTATTTCGACCAATGAATATTCATCGTCTATCGGCGGGGACACGCACGACGCTTGTACGCAGATTGAATAATAGTTGCACGCGCAAATGTACCTACCTACGTTAGCTGTAATCGCAGAGTTAAAACGGGGATCGCTCGTACGTTTTCCTCCGTCTAAATCTCTCTCTCGTCGCTCGATTCGTTTATTTCGCCTGAAAATTTGAACCGTTGAAAGGTTACAAAGAGTGCGCAGAAATGAGAAGGGTGACTTGGTGGTGTAAAGATCGGCGGATAATAAAGTTATCGGCGACGAGAGTTGCCCTCGTACGTGAGAAGAATTCACCGATGCGAAATTCTCACTCGGGCATTCTTTTCAAAGTTGTACTCTACTCTACTTGGAGGGATTCCATCGGTCGAACTCGTCGGAGTATGCAGCAGCAGCAGCAGCAGCAGCACACCCTTCGTTATCGCGCTCGTATTTCGTCTCACGAGGAAATTAATTGTATCGTGTCTCGTGGAGAAAATCAGGAAGAGGAACGTTCCAGCTTCTTTATCAAGCATTTGCCGTAATTCGGAAGGAACGATCGATCGATCGAACTAGGTCCGAAGATATTACGCGATCGACGGTATTACAAGAGAAATTTGTAAAGCGTCGCCAGTGATGGTGCGAAACGTCGTCTCGATTTCGATTTCCAGGCATTGTTCGACGATAACGGGGAGGAGTTGTCGTTTAACAAAGTAGAACGAAAAATGCCTCGGGGGATCGATGGACGGAACTGGCGCCCGCCGTTTCTATCGGTGTAGTATTGTGTTCGCTCTAACGATCCGATCTCGATTATTTATCCGACACGGAGGGTTATCCATCCGGTACGAAACGAATTTGCTCAACTGGCCAACACCGTTTCCAACTTGGACAAGCTCCTCCGAAACTTTTATCAATTGTTTTATCTGTCGTTCGCCCCCTAACAAACTAGACTACCGTTCCACCGTGTAGGTAAACAACGCGCGAGAATTAGAAGCAACGCGTTGAGAGGCTCTCGGACATGTTTACTCATCGGAGTTGAAATTGGCAGGGGCGCGCGCTACTCTGCGTCAGACAGCTTTGCCTCCATTAGCTCCGTTTCGACTGCGACAGACGCGGCGGCGGCGGCTATCTTTGGTGTTTCCGACCTCGTCCTCGTCCTCGTCCAACTGATTTTTCTAAGATGTCGCGTTCGAAATACGACGATAGAACGGGAAGCGTTGCCATTTCTAGAGGTGGTCGGCGATGTCCTGTCCGTGACAAGGTACCTACGTGACATCGTTCTCGATGGGACAGTTTCTAATGCTGACCACTCGGGAATCGACAGTTCGGAGTGGTTTGTAACGCGGGGAAATCGAGGTGTCACGCTTTTCGATACGATAAACCCAAGTACGCGGCTGATTTGTAGTTAAGTAAGAAAGGAGACGTAGCCTGGCTTAATTAGCACGCGAGACAGCCAACACTGGCAATTAAAAGTTTGTCCATGGTATTTCGAACTTTTAGTTGTTCCGTTCCCTTGTAAACTGCGCTGTTTCAAAGGGACTCTTGCGTATCTTTCAGTTTTTTCTTCGAAATCGTTCTCGAAGGAAACAAATGCTCTGGGTTCCTGAGAGGGCGGGGCGCGTCGTTTCGTCGAGAGATTCTCGAATACTTTGTCGGATCGATAGATCCGTTAACGAAGAATCCATCGGGTTCGGATGTGACACCATTAACGGTATGTGGAACACGTAATCGGATAAAGGCGGAGTAGGTCTTGCTAGACACGCGACAAGTGGAGCGTAGTATGTAGATGTACTATGTAGATACGTACGGAGAGAGAGAGCTTTTCTATGGTTTGCAACGAACTTTATTATAATACGTATTTCACTCTACACAGCGCGGTACATGTACACGTATAGCTATATACATACTTGTGCATGTTTGAATTGTTAGTAAAGCGCGGAAGAATGGTGGCATCAGGTGGTTGCGTATCGACGGAGAGTAATTGGCGAGTCCGTGTGAGAAAGCATCCTTGGGCGTGATTGTTCGTGCATCTCGATGAAATCTGGAGAGCTCTCGGCGGAGCTGTCGAGATCGGTGCAGTGGTCGAAATTAGGCGGGCAGTCTGGTGCGTGGTCGGTTAGATTTTAGACGACGTAGTAGGGCGAGGAGTAGGCCGCGGCGTAGTAAGGGTAGCCGGAGTATGCCGCGTAAGGGTAACTGTAGGCAGCAGCGGTGTACGCGACTGGAGCGGTGTACGCGCTGTAAGCGAGGGGCGCAGTGTAAGCCGCACCCACCAGGAGCCCTCGCTTGTCCCTTGCCGCTGCATTTTCACCTTCCACCGCCACCGACTCGGGCTTTCCCGGTTCCAACGACTCGGTTTCCAGGGGTTTAGCTAGAGCTACGCCGACCAGAGCGAACAAAACGACAGCCTGAAATGAAATGAAATGAAGTTACTTGGCCCTTTTCTCTTAGCCGAACGAAGACGTAACGATTGAACGCGTTTACTCACTGCGATGCACTTCATGTTGTAGGTTGCTGAGTAGATGACAAGCTTGGAAGCCCGTTGAAAATCGATTGATGCTCGAAACACCGAAGTAGACCTCTTTTATACCTATTCGATCCCGACGTGGTCGGTACGTGCATCGATTCTCAATATTTGCCTCGCGTAATCGCGCATAATTATTAACCTCTCGGCGTTGCTCGGTCACGGGGCTGCATCTCGTTGTTGACGCGTGCTTGAGCAACGCGTCCTTGGCCATTGTCCAAACGTAAGAACGTGGTTGGACGTTCCGTCGATTTTCGACCTTTTCCTTCTTACTTTCTTTCGCTATTTTCAAAGTCTCGGTAGAGAAATTGGGCTGGATAAAATGGAGAATGGAAAGAAACGGTAGTGAAAGTTTGGTCTATTCGTGGAGCGATGGACCTTGCGGCCAGTAGTCGTGACGAGGATTCCTACGGACGAGTGGGAGTAGTCCCCCTATTGAAATTCCATTTGGGCGCGTTACGCGTAACCTCGTCGCTCGCAATAATTTTCACAACGACGGTTTAGCCATTCCGTCCTTGTGCCCAATTGGTCCTCGTTTGCGGCCACCAAGCCTAAATAGTAGTCCGGTAGTCGTAGTCGGGGTCGAACGAGGAAACGCGAAGGGCCTGCTGCTTCCGGCCCGTTAACGCCGCTTCAAAATTCCAAACTCCACCTCTGCTAATCGACTTCTACTTTGGTCAATTACGTTCTCAGAAGCGAGAAAGGTGAAAGAGAGTTTCGGTGGTTTAACGAGAAAATGGTGCACCGGTGAAATTGCGAGCTGAAAGTGTTTGAGAAGCAAGCAGGTCGCTCTCGTCGGGCCTCGTTTCCTCGTTATTCTCGGAGAAACGACGACGACGCGATGCACCACGCCGCGAAGTGGGCAATAACAACGTCGAGAGGATGGAAACGATAACGTTTAAGTAGCGCGTCGAGTATATTGCGCGCACCAGCTTCAAGGAAATTTGATTAAATACACGCGACATGGTACCACCTCGACGGCTTAGCCCGATTATATTAATGCTCGAAGAGAAACGGCGTTTCCTTTGCTCGTTAACTGGAAGAAAAGGGAAGAAAAGGGAAGAAAAGGGAAGAAAAGGGAAGAAAAGGGAAGAAAAGGGAAAAAAAAGGTAAAACGTGGAGGTGTAGAATTTTCATCACGTACATATGTAGATGCCTCCTAGTTGTATTCTTCTCCGTTACAATGGACACAGCGGAGAGATGTTGTACCTAGGATAGTTTAACGTTATCGTCGCCGTGGTGTTCCTCTCCCGACGTGAAGCTCCCCGAAAGTTTGATCAACGTCTAATGTCTCGATCGATAGAGCTATTCGTCGAAGAAGAATCGTTTCCGTCTGGTGTCCCGTAGGATTTCGAAACGGCTTCGAATATCGAATATCGAATATCGTATATGTATAAAGGTTCGGAGGGTTGGAAATCAGATGGAATTTCAGGTGGCAAAATGAAATTGGATCGAAGAATTTGGTGCATTAGCTTAAACGGAGAGTTTGCCGCGTACATACATGGGTACTTACATACACGGTCCGCGGCGATATGGCGCATGCACGGACGTCGAGCATCGCTCGAAGCGTCGTGGAAAAGGAGAATCAGAGCCGGTGGAGTGCCACCATTGTTTCGTCGTTCTTTAGAACACTCTCCGCATTAGCGTCGTGAATTGGTACAATGCCGGGAGCTCTCTCTTTTGCTCCTATCCGCACTCGCTTACCGGCTCTACCTCTACCACTTTTCGCTCTCCACCGTCTCGACGTTTCTTCCCTCTGCTCCCCCTCTTCTCTTCTCTAGTTTCGCCCTGAAAAATGATTCGCGAGGTCTTCTGGAACGGAAGGACTTTTCAGCTAACTGTTGGTAGACGTTTCTCGCAGCTTGCAACGTACTTATCGTTGGGGAAAACAGCGGTGGAAGATTGAATAATCGAATTGGAAAATGGCGGAAGGCTCGATCCTCCCCTGTTTCCGTAACGTTTCGCGAACCAACGGAGAAGGTGACAAACGACGGGCATTATCCGGTTGGGTCGTAGCTCGTCGCTATAATTAATAACCCGCCTTTGGTCGCATTCGGGGAGGGGTGAAGAGGATCTACCGGGTTAGCTTGAATGTTTTTCGAGCAAATGCCAGGACCTGCCGGTGTTTGCTCGGCAAAGATCCGCAATCCTAGGAAAAATATTGGCTTCGGTATCCGGCTAGACGATATGAAAGAGGGATCTCTAACCTCTGGAATTTTTGCGAATATCCGAGAGATGGGTGGCTGGGCGGTGGGGCAGAAGCCTCGCTCGCTTAGTCGGCAGTTTCAATTAAGTATCGAGCTTCCGCTGACGAGGCACGCGATCTTTCGCTCCCCCTTCTCGACGCACCCCCGCCGCCATCTTTTCCTCGTTAACTTTTAACGACGCGACGTGTATCCTTCGCGAGATAGCTAGCAAGGGGGTACTCTTCCATCCACCTTTCTCACATTTTCCACGAGAACGATTGTTTGGAAATATAGAGAATACGCGATGAGATGCATCGATAAAAATAGAATTGGCGGCGACCTAGTATAGGTATCTGACCGTGCATCATTGTCGCTGCGTTACGCAATATCTGCCAGCGATCCGTCGGAAGAAGCGAAAAAAAAATTCGATCGCGGATGTCGGGGGAGAAGATGGCCGGTGTTTTTACGCGTGTCGGACCGAGGGGATGGCATTTAGGGTGTCGTGGTGGCGTGGTGGCGTGGTGGCGTGGTGGCGCCATGCGAACCGAGAATGTCCCGCGCTCGTTCTTCTTCCGCGTCTGGTTGACGGTGCGAAAGATTTTCATTGAGCGTCGCCCGTCGCCGTCGCCGTCGCCGTCGACGTCGACGTCGTCAAAGGTCGTCTCGGTATAAATAACCGTGGCGCCGTTGTTGGCTCGTTCTCGTTTCTCCGCTTCGTCGGTCAATTCTTTGCCCGTTACACGGTTTGCCGCGTTTCGACGGTCCGCGAAATTCCCTATCGAGGATTTCGAACGTTCGAAGGATCGGAAATATCGTGGAGATATAAGCGCGGTTTCTTCTCGGATGTTCGTTAAGTGGACGAACGCGGCGACCTCGTTGTCGTTTGTTCGTTTTCAATCTGGACCGCGCATAAAAGTGTAAACCGAGAAGCGGTTGAAAAGGGGGAAATTTGATGGAAAAGTTTTCTGTGAATTAGACGCGGGACCGAATAGCCTTCCTATCTAAGCCGGCATGGCTGTTTCGCTGTCGGCGCACTCGACCCGAGTGCGTACAGCTCGTTTGCGAGCCTGGGGATCTACGTAGGGGTCGAGCTGTGCGCGCGCGCAACTTTCGCTTGCGCCGCTTCTAGATTTTTCGCTAATTAAAAATTTCCGAAAGGTCGAAATGAAAATGATTCCGGAGGTAAAACGTTCGACGAGCGATCGCGTCGCGCTTTCACAAATTAACCAAGCATTTTCCAGAGAGCTTTGAGAGTGCACTAGACGAGCGGTCGTCGCCGTGCTGTCATCGTCGACGTCGTGGGCGTTATCGCGGGGTAAGCAGACGGATGCCTGTACACTCCCTGGCCTCTTCTCACGAGCCGTTTAGTTTACCCGTGATATATCTACGTGGCGCGTTCGCAAACTCGAAAGCGCGTTCGGAGCTTTGAGAGAAACTTCTCGTTCGGTTCGATTAGCCGTTCGATAGTTGGAATAATTCCAGTGTGTTGGGAAATTTTCAAGTTCTGCCTCGCAAAAACTGGCGAGGGTACGACGGTCTCTCGATGAAACGACTGAGCCTGATGACGGATCGGCTTGCGCGAAAAAGGGGAAAAATTGGACGATTGCACGATTACTTTCGAGTAGTAGGTCACGGGGCAACGCAGCGACGATCGTTGGTTTATTATCCGAACGGACTGGACAGAATGCGAAATTGTGAGTTCGCGTGTCTCGCGTGGCGACACGTCGTTGAAGTAGGCTATCGGGATACGATCGGGAAAACCGTGACGCGACGACAACCTCCCTGCGATATTCCAAGGTCGCCGCATCTCGAGTTTTCCGTAATAACGCCTCTCGCCGAGACGTAATCGTAAGCGATAATACACGAGGGGGTTGGAACTCGGCAGAAGCGAACTGGCACGCGTGCACTCCTCGCCCTTTTCGCCGTTTCGAGTAGCGCCGCGAGTTAACGCGTTTTCTCTTGGGTACGTTCCGTCACGTGGAACCTCGGTGCGCCAAGAGGTGGTTTGTTCTCCCGAATTTTTGCTCGTGACAAAAGAAGAGCTAGAGCAAGGGGTTCTCCCGTTTTTCCTCGGGGCGAAACGGTAGCGTATTTTCCAGGAGCTAGATTAAAGATGCTCGGCCGAAATGGAGCTTCGGTTGAATAGCTACTCGTAATACTTTTTCGCAAACGACGACGACGACGACTTCTATCGGTAGCCCTTCTCCGCGATGCTTACGAGAGCGAACCCTCGGGTCGAACTTCTTGCCCACCGGCTTGTCGTAACAAGCCTCGAGACGTCGATCGACACTCGTAAATCCTTCGACCTCTCTCCAAATATCTTCGCCTCCCCAAAATCTCCGGGAAATTTCGGAAAAAGTTTCTCTCCCTTCTTTCGACTAGATTATTACTCGAGGATTCGGTATCGAATAGGATCGTTTTATAAATTAGACGCTTCTGGCGTGAGCTCGGGCAGGAGACGTCGACGGTCGACGTAAGCGGCCGTGAATAATCGTGGCTGCCCTTATCTGCCTCTCGTTTATAGGGCTTACTCGCGTCCTCCTAAAAAACCCTCTTTCGCTTTTCTCTCGGGTGAAATTTATTCGCGTCGCGGTACCCTAATGCGTCTGCGAGCGTTACGATCCACGAATACCGCTGTTGTTCTAACGTTCACCTTGTAATCTCTGCTCTCGATCAGTTTTCTTTGGAGATGCCGCGGGATATTTAGTAGGTAGGAAGGATACCAGTTGCTCGATCCAATTTTTCCTACTAGTTGTTACCGTTCTGGCGGCCTGCCTCTTAATCCGCTTTTACGTCCCGTATAAAGGCCAGATTCTCGTCGCTTCCGTAAATGTCCGTAAATGCTGCCCCCTCTTTCCTTATTTCTCACGCGGGAATCGAATCGATCGGACGCTTCTTCCCAACGGAGCTGCTTTGCAGCCGCGCGTCGCTAAATTTAATCGAAACATTCCTCGTCTGTTCCGAGCGGCGGTAACTTAACAGCGCGGCGCACGAAATAGCTCGGTAGCATCCAGCGCAACGATCGATGGTTGAGGTAATTGGACAGTGGTGAGGTAGGAAATATCGTTAGCTCTTTCGATTGAGCTGCGAGTCTTTGGCCGCCGCCGCTCTACGTTAACTTTGTCTAGTACATATAGAGATAAGTCTAACGACGGGAAAAAGGGGAGCTGTGGCAGGCTAAGAGATTCGACCCAGGAAACGCAGGAAACTCTTCCGCTTATCGAAGCAACTCTGCCGGCGGCGTAAGCCGAGTTTACGAGAGAGCGAAGGGCGGAAAGATGAGCGCGCGTCCCTTGGAGAATTGCGACGAGACGCAGAGTATACTTATTTGCATTCTCATTTGTATGCGTGCGCAGCGGTTTCGCTATGATTTATGGAAAGTCGGATAAGGGAGGTACTTGCCGTGTAAGTTGCTAAACTGCGCGTTATTCCGCTCGGTAGCGACGCTTTTCCGCCCCTGTTTCGCGTCTCGTTATCGAACGTTGGCTGGCTGGCTGGCTGGCTGTGGTTGATCTCGCGGAGAAGGACGATTCGTTTGGTAAGATAAGGTAAGCACAAGCCTCTCCTCGGCAACGCGCCATCCTCGCATCCACTGTGGCTGTGGAGGGCCAAGGGTTCAGTTACGCGTTCGCCGTTTAGGTTCGTCCCTGAACCTACAAACGCTGCAAAATCGGCAAAACTATTTGCTTCGAGGTGTCTCCGCGAGGTACATAGTTCGCATCGTGAGATTATCTCTGGAGTTGCGAGGGTTGGACCTCCGAATTTTTCCTATCCCCTTCACGGGCTAGCTCGTATCGATTTTCCGTTTACGTAGCTAGTTTTGCGGTTCGTTAGGGTCTCGTTCGAGCAGACGCTATTTTCGTTCCGCCCTCTCTTTTTACCACAGTTGTTTTCCTCGCACGCGATTCGTCCCGTTTGAAGCGTTGGACGACGATGACGTGGTGCGATCGTCGTCTCGAGGTACGTAGGGACTGATTTGAAAGGTCGAACCGTCCAAGCCACGACCGCGACGTCACCCCTCGAAACGGACTAAATCCTTTCCGCGTCCAGGTGGTTTCGAACAATTAGCTTAACTCCAAGTTGCCAATTAAGCGGGTCGCTGGACTGTAGAACGTAGAATGTACTGTAGAACGTAGACCGCGTCGAAGGAAAGATTCGGGAGAGGAAGGAGCTCTAATTGGAGATTGGTGGAGCAAGGTGGAGCAGCGCGGCTACACCGGGTTACCGCCGTTTTCCCCTGTCGCTATAAATAAGCAGGATCGATAGTCGCGAGAGGGAAGGTATGTGCCGGTAATCACTTTATGCACACGGCGAAAAAGCACCCTTTCGAGCGCGGACGTGAAACGGAACGGTTTCGAGACCGTGGTGTTCCAGTTTGCGCTCGAATCTCTCTAAACAACCCCTCCAGCTCCTTCCGTGGCTCCTCCTCAAGCACACTCGTCAAATACACCGTTCTGTGTTTCAGGTATCGCGAACACGACGACAGGAACACGGAGAATCGATTCGGTGAGTCTTCCTCGAGCGTTACGTAAAGGGAGGGGCAGGGAAAGCGGTCGTACATCAGCCGCGAGAGCATTATTCGTTCCGCGATGCGTTAATACCCCGATAATTCATTCTAAATCCAGCAAATGAAGCGGCCGAGGTTCGCGACGTGCGACGGTTCGCAAAGCGTTCCGAGAAACGCTCCGCTTTGAAGTGCCACCACCGCCGCGCCGCGCAAAGAAGACGCGTTCTCTCTTCTCGTTACGGTTCCTCTGCGACGCGGCACGCGCCCCTCGTTTCCTTCTTCTCCTCCGCGTTCGAGACGAGTTCGACGCGCGAACGCGAGATCTGGCCTCGGCAGATGTTCGGGGCTCGCGTAAATTTCACCGGTGGTAAACGCTTAATGCCTGCGTATCGCGCGGCCAATTTGTAACCGCGAATGTTTTCGTATCTCTCGGCGGCGTCGGCGGCGTCAGCGGCGTCGGCGTCTCCTCGACGGACGATTTATGTGGCGGATCTGCGCTGCCACCGACGACGGTACGCTTCCTGCCGGTGCGCGACCGAGTTACCCCGACCAGAATTAGCTTCTGTCCCTCTTTCAGCTGGAATTTTCCCTGGAATTTCACCAACCACCGTCTGCTCCTGCCGATTCTTTTTTTCTTATCCGATCTTAAATATGCAAATCGTATTGGCGAACATCCGCCCGCCGTTTAAGGAGGGAAGAGAGGGATAGCGGAGGGGAGGTTTCGGTCGAGGTGGTGGCGCGTCCGAGATTTCCTCGTTCGAAAAATTTGCATTCTAAATTAAAGGGGTACGCATTGAAGGCGTCCCTCCTCGCGCGATTCCTTTCGCAACGCAATTATCCTCCGAAACTGTAACAGCCTTTCTTTCGAAGCGGCCGTCTGACATCGTCTCGAGCGAGCCGCGAACAAATGCATTCAGAATTGGAGAGAATTCGTGGCAGGCATTGTCCCCGTTGAACGCGACGCTCGTAACGGCGCGCCTTTGATTACGAGAGAGCCAATAACGATAGACGGATTTTTTCATTCGTCTCCTAATTCACCTGTTTCTCTCGACGACGCAGGAAAATTGGTCCGTTGGTCTGACGTTCGAGTTAGAAACAAAATTGGGTAGAAGGAGGAGAAGAGAGAGATTGATGTCGGATGGGACAAGAAGGTGGTGTACATATATAGACGTACATAGGAGAGCCGTAACGCGGGGGGCTCCGTTGCGAAGGCAGCCGTGCATGCGACGCAACCAGCCATGAATACGCGAGCGGTTCGTTGCATAAATATCGCTCGGTTCATCTACGAGGCACGTCCTGGGTAAACTAAGAGACTGGGTAAACGCATTGATTTATCGCTCCAGCGTTAACTACGCGGACGCTCGCGCTCGTAAATCCGCTAGCACGGCCGCCGCTGTTTTTTCTCGAATAAGTCCCGGAGGGAAACGGGCGCAATCTCTGTTCCGGAGGTCTTTGTCGCCAGTTGACGAGCAATTGGCAGAAAGAGAAGTGGCGACATGTTCGAAGCACCCTGAAATAGGCCAGACCGTGCGATGGCATCCGAGAAAAAGAGTGGAACTCTCGTTTCAAGGTCCAGACGGCGTTCTTCTCTCGGAGAGGGATGCAGGCACCTTCTCTAAATAGACCTATCCGGACCTATCGGAGACAGTTGGGGCCCGCGTTCGTCTCGCTGTCACCGTATCCTCGAGCTATCTTTAAAATATACGCAGACGCGGCCTCGCAACGTCTACCTCTCGCGGCAACGAGGCCGTTTCGATTTTGAAACGGTGCTGGTCGTCGAATCCTAGTCGAGGGGGCGACCAGAGACAGACAAAGCGACGCGGAGCCGAGAGGAGAGAAAGAAGTGGTGAAACGCGACCATTTATTTTCGGCCAATTAGCGGCATTCCACGACGGGGAACCGTTATACGTGGGTACTTTGTCAGTTGCATAACTCGTCGGGGAAGCGTCCCTGCCCTTTTATTCGGGATTAACACGGTGGCCAAGTCGGTATAGTAAGCTTAGTCTCGAACGCGACATTTTTCGCCTTTCCTCGCCTTTGCTCGTATTTCGGAGCACGGGAGGGGCCACGGACACCTGTCGTCTTCCCCTCGGAAAGTTTGTCCTCGGTTTCGAGATCCAGAGGGAAGAAAACGGGAGGGCGAGTCCGGGGCGGATTAACGCCGACGAAGGAACCAGCCTGGACGTCAGCCATTCGAAACGTCCACCGATTCCGCGGCATACCGATACCGCGACCAATATCCTGCTTTGCTCGGTCGTACGTACCAGTAGCGCTCGGAAGAATTCTCGGCAATTCCTGGCGGATCGATGGAAAGTAGGGCGCTCGAAGTGGTTCGCTGGAAGCCGAATGAAAAGGACGACATTCCGGGTCCGGTATTCTGGAAAGAATTAAACGACGAGGATCCAGGTACTCGGTGCAATTACTTTGGCCGCGGGAGGGAAACCGTCCACTGGGAAATATGTACACGCTGGTTCGCCGGTGGCGAGGAAATCTAATATCCGAATCGACGTTCACAGCGACCACTGTTCGCCGCGGCCCCGGTATCGACGGATGCGCGCCACTCTGGCCCGCTTCTTTCTTCTCGGCTGTTGCTAGCTGTCCGGGGAACCAGTTCGTTTCTATGCAGCGATAGCTGCGGGACTCGTTCGATCGAAAACGGCTTTTCCCACCAAATGAGCCAACGAACCGATGCCGTTCCTTCTTTTCTTCCGGGAGAAGAAAGCGCGGTCGCGAAACGACGTTACTCGAGGGTAAATTGCGTTTTCGCGGGATTAAAGAGAGGGGGAGCTGAAGTTAAACGCGGTAACGCAATATTCTCGATTGCTGTTCGCGGCTAAAACGAATTTGCTTCCATTCTGCCGTTAGGAGGAGAAGAAGAAGCAGAGGGATGGTAGACTCGTCCAGGCTGCCGCGCGATTTTCTTTCGCGGCAGTTAGATCCTTTGCACGTCTAGGTGAAACGCGGAAGAGAAACACGACCGCGAGCGTGAGAAATCGCGTTAACAAGTCCCGTGGTTCCGAGTTACGCTCGATTAACCCTTCTGTCGCGGCAATTTAAACGTCCCGATTGCTGACGACACTGACCGTCTGTCTTTCTTCTCTGATTGCAGATCTTTCTCGCTTCGGATCCAACCGTTTCTCGTTCACCGTTCACAATGGCCGCTCGTTTATGGTGAGTATCGAAACGACCAGATAGAAGACGGAACGCGTAAATCATAGCTGTCCGCGTCATCTACTCGAATCTGGACTCCCTTAAATCCTTCTTATCCCGTGAATTATGCCGGCGCGAAAACGATACAACGAATTCGGCCGAGCGGTTGGAGACGGTCCAAGGTGGTAGCGAAAGCGAAGGAAGGGCAAGAAAAGTGGAAAAGCGGTGGCCGTTAAACCCTCTCCGATTCTCGTTTAAGGGGAATCTGTTTGGCGCGAGTTTCGAACGGGACCTAGCAGGTGGCGAGCGAAAGGTTCGTCCGGAAGAAGAGGGAGAGGAGAAAGGAGGCGGTGGTTGCAGGACGCAGACGCGTGAGCGCGTCGCGACGCTTGGAAATGTGAGGAAAGGAAGGGGGAAGAACGCTGGCAGTCGCGCTAGTCCGACGACGCCGCTGGCGTCGGCGTCGGCGTCGGCGTCGGCGTCTGCGTCTGCGACGCTCTCTATAAATATTCAGGGGAATCCCGAGGTAGCAGAAGAAATTGCCCCGTTCCTCGGGCGCAAACACGCCGCGCTCTCTCTCTCTCTCTTTCTTCCCCTCCTCTAATTTTGGCCGAGCGACGAAAACTCTTCTTTTTCTCTTTGCCGCGGCCGAGAACGTCTGCCCGACTTTGCTCCAATTTCTATTTTCGACCGAGACGTTGAAACTTTGGAGGATGATCCGCTCGCGATTCGGCCGAACCGATCCTCTCCACGAATCGAACGACGACGTGGTTGTCGCTTTCGGAAAGAGACCCCTGAGACAGCGCCGCGACGAGAAGGGGGGAGGCTGCTTTTCTACGTTCTTTCCAGCCGGAGAAAGGGGCTGCTCTGTGGAGAAAGCTCTGACCTATATTATTCGAGGCTTCTTTGCCTCCTCTTTTCCAGCCGTTTCTTTCGACCCCGATTCACAGAGGGACGTTTTCCGGGTCCGCGTTATTTCTCTTCCCAGCTTTTCGCCCTCGTTCCAGATTAGACCCACGTAGGCAGACCGTTTTCAGAGAAGCTCGCAGAGAGAGTAGTAGGTTCACACGGGCTAATCAATCTGTCGCAGACGAATCCGCGGCGCGTGAGAAGCGAGCAGAGCGGCGCGGCGTGGCGGCGGCGGCGGGAGCACGTGGCACGCGAAGAGACTAGGTTTCCTTTCGGCCAGGTACGCCCAAACTCGCATCCAACGTGGCTAAGAGCGTAAGCCCTCGTCGAGTGCACCAGGAGTGCTCGAGCGGCGGAGAGGTGCAGGTACAGGTGCAGCAGGAGAGGCGAGCACCGAGGCGCATGCCTTACCTGGGGCCTGATATGACAACCCGGCTATCCGCCATGTTTTACACGGTCGAAGTCGGGGACACCAGATTCACCATTCTCAAGCGGTACCAGAACCTGAAGCCGATCGGTTCCGGTGCACAGGGGATCGTTTGGTAAGTCTCTGCGGCACTCGCCTCGTCCTCCTCCGTTTACGTGCGTGGCTGCGTGTGTTACAGCGCGGCGTACGACACGGTCACCGCGCAGAATGTCGCGATCAAGAAGCTCTCGAGACCTTTTCAGAACGTGACGCACGCCAAGAGGGCCTACAGGGAATTCAAGCTGATGAAGCTGGTCAATCATAAAAACGTGAGTGTCGATTTCGGGGGCGAACGGTAGCGTGCAACTTTTCCCCTTGGCTCCCTTGCAGATAATCGGTCTGTTGAACGCGTTCACGCCGCAACGGTCGTTGGACGAGTTTCAAGACGTCTACTTGGTGATGGAGCTGATGGACGCGAACCTGTGCCAGGTGATCCAGATGGATCTGGATCACGAGCGCACGTCCTACCTTCTGTATCAGATGTTGTGCGGCATCAAGCACTTACACTCAGCCGGTATCATTCATAGGGTGAGCACCAAGCAGATCCGTGTCGCCTTCGAATCGGACTTTCACATTGACCCTTTTCTCTTACCCCCCCTGTAGGATTTAAAGCCGAGCAATATCGTGGTGAAGGCCGACTGCACGCTCAAGATCCTCGACTTTGGCCTGGCGAGGACCGCCGGGACCACCTTCATGATGACGCCGTACGTGGTGACGCGGTATTACAGGGCGCCGGAGGTAAGAATTGCCGCGTAAGAGAGGTGTGGCGGACGCTGGATCTTTCGGTGTTACTTGTAGGTGATCCTCGGGATGGGCTACAAGGAGAACGTGGACATCTGGTCGGTCGGGTGCATAATGGGCGAAATGATCCGAGGTGGCGTGCTGTTCCCCGGCACGGATCACATCGACCAGTGGAACAAGATAATCGGTAGATACCACCTATAGAGTAATAGAGTAACGCACGGCCGGTCTAACGTTGCCCTTGTTGCAGAGCAACTGGGAACGCCTGCGCAGGAGTTTATGCAGCGGCTGCAGCCGACGGTGAGGAACTACGTGGAGAACAGGCCGCGGTATCCGGGATATCCGTTCGACAGGTTATTCCCGGACGTTCTCTTTCCAGCGGACTCGTCGGAGCACAATAGATTGAAAGGTGAGCGGCCGATCTAGTTGCCGACGCGGTCCAACCTCTTCCCTCCCGTTCTTCTTCTTTCCCTTTTGCTTCCGATTTCCAGCCAGCCAAGCCAGGGATCTATTGTCGCGCATGCTCGTCATCGACCCCGAGCGACGCATCTCCGTCGACGAGGCTTTGATGCACAATTACATAAACGTGTGGTACGACGACAACGAAGTGAATGCCGTAAGTGTCGTCGTCGATCCGTCGTTAATCCCGTTACTCTCTCTCTCTCTCTCTGTCCCTCTCTTCTTTGTCTTTGCCCTCGAATGTCGCTTCTCCTGATAAAGGGGTACGGACAGGAGAGGAGGGGCAGAGGGAAGAGAAGATGGGGGAAAAGATGATGGAAAGATTCGCGTTTGCCGCAGCCTGCGCCAGGCCCGTACGACCACAGCGTGGACGAGAGGGAGCACACGGTGGACCAGTGGAAGGAGCTGATCTACCAGGAGGTGATGGAGTACGAGACGAGCCACAATCCCGCGACGGTGGCTCAAACGTCCGAGACCGCCGGTTCCCGGTAGACACGAAGGAGCCCTGCCACCAGCTTTCCCCTCGAGGACGCATCTAGACTGTCTAATCTGTCGTACATAATATATACA